AATCAGGGTGTATGCCCCAACTGCAAAGGACTCTCCTGACACCATACCCACTAGAACGGGTAGGCATGTGCCTCATGTGATTCATTATCTTTGGGAGTAAGTAGTTGTTTTTGAGAAAACTTCCGCAGGCCATTCTCGTCCTAGAAGGCAACTTGTTAGTGAGATACATTAACAAGTAATACAGTGATTACACCTGGTCTGTATTAGGAGATTCAACCAGATGCCAATTGAAAATAACTCAAAAAATTTTAACTGATTCTGTATTGTACATTATAGATTTTTTTTGTCATTCCGTAAACAATGTAACTTATTTATATAGCATTTATATTCTGTTAAGTATTATAGATAATATTAAAGTATATGGGAGTGTGTGCACAGGTTGTGTGGAAGTACTGTACCTTTACATATGAAAGAACTGAGGGCTGGTTGCCAGTGGCTCATGCCTGTAATCCTAACTACTGAGAAGGCTGTGATCTGAGGTTCAAAGCCAGCCTGGGCAGGAAAGTCCATGAGACGCTTATCTCCAATAAACCACCAGAAAACCGGAAGTGGCTCAAGTGGTAGAGCACTTGCGTTGAACTGAAGAGCTCAGGGACAGTGCCCGGCCCAGAGTTCAGGTCCCACAACTGAAAAAAAACAAAAACAAAAAAAACAGAGGATCTGTGGATTTTGATGGTTGTAGAAGAATACTATATCCAATTCCCTATAAATACTGAAGGAAAACTGGACGTAGATGTTAGAGAGACACCAGAGTTTGACTTAATTCCTGGCCAGGTTTTCAGGAAGATCATTTAAAGGCAAAACAAAATTTTTGTAGCATTTTTGTTTTTTTTTTCCCCCCCCAGGGCTGAGGACCGAACCCAGGGCCTTGCATGTGCCAGGCGGGCGCCCTTCCGCTGGGCTAAACCCCCAGCCCCAAAACAAAATTTTTTTTTTTTTTTTTGGTCCGGTCGTGGGGCTTGAACTCTGGGCCTGGGCGCTGTCCTTCAGCTCTTCAGCTCAAGGCTAGCGCTCTACCACTTGAGCCACAGCATCACTTCTGGCTTTTTTTCTTTTTGCTTATGTGGTGCTGAGGAATCGAACCCATGGCCTCATGCATGCAAGGCAGGCGCTCTACCACTGAGCCACCTTCCCAGCCCCCCAAAACAAAATTTTTAAAAGACTTCTTGGCTGGGTTATGGTCCAAGTGATAGAATGCCTGCCTAGCTAGTAATGCAAGGCTTTGAGTTCTAACTCCAGTACTGTCAAGAAAAATAAATAAGATAAAATAAAAAGCCTTATTCTCTTGCCTAGCAGGTGTATACAAGGTCCAGTGGTTGACGTTCCACCAGGACTCTTAAGGAAAGATGGTGGCTGTGGGCAGCTTGCTTGGGTAAGCATGGATTTTCAGGCCCCTCACAACTCTAGTCAGGCTTACCTCAGGAAAAGCCTCAGCAGGAGTTAAGACTCTTGGGCTCCTGCTTCCTGTCCCCAATGCTGTCAGCCACCCGCTTGACCCCTTCCTGGCTGTGAGGTCAAAACTCTGGATCAAACCTTGTGGCTCTTCAGGGCACCCTGGCTAGTGTTTGTGGCCAGCAGGAAGTTCTCTGTTAGGCCCTGATCTGGCCATATTGGTGATCTCTGTCCCCAAACCATCCACTTAGGTTTGTTTTGTACCCATGTTTTGTGTGTAGGTTGCTGTGGCAGAGGACTGTGAAGTCAGCGTCCGCTGTGCCTTGCTTCCTGCACACATCTTCCCGGCAAGCTGATAGCAACAGGGCAGCCGTCACTCGTCTCCGTCGCCAGGCCTATGCTCGCCTCTACCCAGTGCTGCTGGTCAAGCAGGATGGCTCCACCATCCACATCCGCTACAGGGAGCCAAGACGCATGCTGGTGGTATGCTTCCTTCATCATCCAGATTTCTCTGGAGCTTGTGGCCACTGGACTCAGGATGGACAGGTCGCAGTAGTCACAGTACAGTTGTGCAGAAGAACAGACTGTTGGAGAGGAAGAATGTCTGACTTAGAACTTCCTCCAAGCATTAAAACCAGATAGGATGAATAAGTCAGTATTTTTATGTTTTGTTTAAAGCCACCTCCAATAAACTGTCCTGGTGGCTCACGCCTGTAATCCTAGCTACTCAGGAGTCTGAGATCTGAGGATCCCAGTTCAAAGCCAGCCTGGGTGGGAAAGTTCATGAGACTCCCATTAATCTCTCCAATTAATCACCAAAAAGCCAAAAGTGGAGCTGTGGATCAAGTGGTAGAGTGCTAGCCTGGAGCAAAAGAGCTCAGGGACAACACCCAGGACAGACACAAAACAAACAAAAAAAACCCCACCAATCTTAGGAAAAAGAGACAGAAAAAATAGTTCTCTCAGTAAAACACAAGCTTTGTGGAAAGCTCACAAAAATCTAAAGAAAATTAAGATGGGTCTGTGTGGACACACGTGTGTTTCTCCCCTTTTAGATGCCACTAGACCTGGACACCCTGACTCCAGAGGAGCGCCGGGCCAGGTTCCGGAAACGTGAAGCCCTGCTCCAACAGAAGAAGGAGGAAGAGCCAGAGCTGGTGGACGGTTTTGACTCTGAGCAGTACCGACAGTTTTGGTCCAAGACCAGGAAGTAACTGTGGCTTGAAGGTGCCCCAGGGTGACTGAGGGCAGAGTTCTATACCTGTAAACAAACTCCCATGTTCTTGAAGCCATCATCTTAGTGTTGTGTGTGTGTTGTACATGTGTGTGTACTAACCCTGAGACTTAAATGCAGGGCTGAGTTGCTCTCTCTGAGCTTTGTTATGCTCAAGACTAGCTGGTGGCTCATGCCTGTAATCCTAACTACTCAGGAGGCTGAGATCTGAGGGTTGCAGTTCAAAGTCAGGCTGGTCAAGAAAGTGTGTGACTTATCTCCAGTTAACCATCAGAAAACCAGAAGTGGCACTATGGCTCAAGTGGTACAGCAGTAATCTTGAGCTGAAGAGCTCAGGGACAGTGCCCAGGCCCAGAGTTCAAGCCCCACAACTGACAAAAAAAGACTAATGTTCTGTCACTTGAGCCACAGCTCTACTTCTGCCCCCCCCCCCCTTTCAAACCTCTATACTCATATTTCAGCTTCCTGAGTAGCTAGATTATGGGTATGGGCCATTGGTAGCCAGCTTGTTAGTGTCTTTTATGTGTGCATCTAGCCCTGAAGCATATCATCTTTGGAAAGTGCCTCTCAGAGCTAGATGGTAGGTCTCTGAAGCTTAGAGCAGACTAGAAGGATTAGGATCTGTTTAGATGAAACCCGTGGGTTTAAGACACTGCTGCAAGGATATGGAGCACAGAAAAACCAGAGAGCTGGACAGAAAGCACCCAGCATCCCCCAGCTACCCTCTCAGCCTCAGATACGCTCCATTTGCTGTTCTGCAGATCAGGGAGCAGAGGCCCACCATCCTGGGAGTCAGGGACCTTCTTGTTATAGCCTCCAGTCCTCCCTCAGTAGTGGAGGGGATCCAAGAGCAGCCAGAGAAGGTGTGTTGAACCCTTCATCACCTGCACAGTACAGGGCCTGGAGCCTGAACTCTGGGCCTGGGCGCTGTCCCTCAGCTCTTCAGCTCAAGGCGACCACTCTACCACTTGAGCCACAGCGTCACTTCGGTTTTCTGGTGGTCAATAGAGATAAGAATCTTTCTGCCTGAGCTGGCTTTGAACTGTGATCCTCAGATCTCAGCCTCCTGAGTAACTAGGATGACAGGCATGAGCCACCTGTGCCCGGCCCTTTTGTATTTTTTAAAGCGTGTATGCCATTGTCAGGGTTTGAGCTCAGGGCACTCCAGCCTTGCTTTATGCTTCTCTGGAACCATGACCCTCTGGTCCTCCATATCTCAGCCTCCAGAGTAGCTAGGAGCCTTTTATTTTATTTTATTTTTATTTTTTTGTCGGTCGTGGGGCTTGAACTCTGGGCCTGGGCGCTGTCCCTCAGCTCTTCAGCTCAAGGCCAGCGCTCTACCACTTGAGCCACAGCACCACTTCCGGTTTTCTGGTGGTTTATTGGAGATAAGAGTCTCACGGTCTCTCCTGCCCGGGCTGGCTTTGAACCGCGATCCTCAGATCTCAGCCTCCTGAGTAGCTAGGATTACAGGCGTGAGCCACCAGCGCCCGGCAACTAGGAGCCTTTTATACATGCACTGATCTCATTCATGAAGCTCTGCTTCCTTATTTCATCTCCTTCCAAGTATTTTACCTGGAGGGACTATTTTTCAACATGAATTTGAGGTGTATGTAGGAAGGACACATTCAGTCTAACAAGGGCTGCTGGGTACCGCTGGAGCGCCCTAGAATAGGGACAAGTGCATGGGAAGCAGACTAAGTCAGAGCCAGGAGCTGGAACTGCAAGATTGAGCACTACCGAATACTCTTAAGAAAGCAGACACATCCCTTTTCCAGCACACCCCTCCATACTGACTGCAATGTGTAGTGGAGAAACAATTCCTCTCCACATTTTCTGGTCTCCCCCGGGTGAAACTGGAAGAGTCCTGGAGGCACTATGCACCTAAAGGCTACCTGAAATGGGCGCCCGCAGGGCTCTGGTTAGAAGTCGTCCAGACCAGTGTCGCCATGGTGGATGACCGCCATGGGGGCTTCTCTTGGCCCGCGCTTCGTCTTCACCCTTTCCCCTTTTCTTTCCGGCTGGTTTGAGTCCAGAGCCTTCTCGAGGCAGGCCCTCGGCCTCCAATGCGCTACGCGTCAGGGGATGCAGGCCCACCGTTCAGCCTCCTGGCGCCCGGCTGGCCGGGCCTGCCGCTGCTCCGGGAATAGCGGTGGTCCTCCCGCCCGGCCGCCCGGGCACCGGCGGCCCAGGCATCGGCCGGGCCGGAAGCCCGCGGTCGGGCCGGAAGGAGGGTGGGGTCGGACCTGGGGGAGGAGGAAGTGCGGGTGACGCGCTGCGCAGGCGCGGACGGCGGCGTGGACGGCGGCTGGTAGAGCGGGGCGCGGGCGCGGTGCGCAGGCGCGGTGGTCACGTCACGCCGCCCATTCCGGGCCGCGCCGTGGGCCCGGGGCTGTGCGGGCGCCGGGGCCCGCGTCGTGTCCGGCGCCATGTTCGGGTCCAGCCGCGGCGGCGTGCGCGGCGGGCAGGACCAGTTTAACTGGGAGGACGTGAAGACCGACAAGCAGCGGGAGAACTACCTGGGCAACTCGCTGATGGCGCCCGTGGGCCGCTGGCAGAAGGGCCGCGACCTCACCTGGTACGCCAAGGGCCGCGCGCCGTGCGCGGGGCCGAGCCGCGAGGAGGAGCTGGCGGCCGTGCGCGAGGCCGAGCGGGAGGCGCTGCTGGCCGCGCTGTGAGTGTCCGCGGGCCGGAGCGGGGTTGGGATGGGGAGCGGAGCGGGGCCGGGGATGGGGAGCGGGGCCGGGGATGGGGGCCGGAGCCGCGCCGGGGACGGGGGATGGGGGCCGGAGCGGGGCTGGGATGGGGAGCGGGGCCGGGGATGGGGGCCGGAGCCGCGCCGGGGACGGGGGATGGGGGCCGGAGCGGGGCTGGGATGGGGAGCGGGGCCGGGGATGGGGGCCGGGGCCGCGCCGGGGACGGGGGATGGGGGCCGGAGCGGGGCTGGGATGGGGAGCGGGGCCGGGGATGGGGAGCGGAGCGGGGCTGGGATGGGGAGCGGGGCCGGGGATGGGGGCCGGAGCGGGGCTGGGATGGGGAGCGGGGCCGGGGATGGGGGCCGGAGCCGCGCCGGGGACGGGGGATGGGGGCCGGAGCGGGGCCGGGGATGGGGAGCGGGGCCGGGGATGGGGAGCGGGGCCGGGGATGGGGGCCGGAGCCGCGCCGGGGACGGGGGATGGGGGCCGGAGCGGGGCTGGGATGGGGAGCGGGGCCGGGGATGGGGAGCGGGGACGGGGATGGGGGCCGGAGCCGGGCCGGGATGGGGAGCGGGGCCGGGGATGGGGAGCGGGGCTGGGGATGGGGAGCGGGGCCGGGGATGGGGGGCGGGGCGGGGCCGGGGGCGGGCGGGGCCCCGCGCGGCTGACCCCCCCCACCCCCTGCAGCGGCTACAAGAACGTGAGGAAGCAGCCCACCGGCCTGAGCAAGGAGGTCAGTGGAGGACGGGCGCGGGAGGGCGGGCGGGGCGCGGGCGCGGGGCCGGCCGAGCCTCTCTGGTCTCTTCCCGCAGGACTTCGTGGAGATCTGCAAGCGAGAGGGCGGCGACCCGGAGGAGAAAGGCGTCGACCGGCTCGTGGGGCTGGGCAGCACGAGGTGCGGGCACGCGGGGGCGGGGGCGGGGCAGCACGAGGTGCGGGCACGCGGGGGCGGGGCGCGGCATACGTGGGCGCCTCCCTCACCGCCCCGTCTCCCTCACCGCCCGGCCCCTCCGCCCTCACCGCCGTCTCACCGCAGTGGCTCCGCGGGCCGCGTAGCGCTGTCCCGGGAGGACAAGGAAGCCGCCAAGCTGGGGCTGTCGGTGTTCACGGTATAACCCGCGCCGGGACCCCCTGAGTTCCCCGGGGGCGGGCGGGCGGGCGGGGCGGGATTCCCCGCGCCCCTCCGCCCTCCCCACCGCGCCCCTTCTCCCGCAGCACCACCGCACAGACAGCAGCAGCCGAGCTACTTCTCCAGCCGCCGCCAAAAGGAAGCCGCGCGTGGAAGACAGGGCTGACCCCGGGTAAGAGGACCGGGCTGGCTCCGCCCAGCTTCCTCCCGGGGAGTGGAGTGCGTGTGCCACGCGCGTCCCCTGCCCACCAGGCCTTGCGCAGCCTGGGGAGCTACGAGAGCCACGGCCCCACGGAGGCCCTGGTGAGCGTGGGCTCGTGCTGAGGAGCCACGGCCCCACGGAGGCCCTGGTGAGCGTGGGCTCGTGCTGAGACACGGCCCCACGGAGGCCCTGGTGAGCGTGGGCTCGTGCTGAGGAGCCACGGCCCCACGGAGGCCCTGGTGAGCGTGGGCTCGTGCTGAGACACGGCCCCACGGAGGCCCTGGTGAGCGTGGGCTCGTGCTGAGACACGGCCCCACGGAGGCCCTGGCGAGCGTGGGCTCGTGCTGAGGAGCCACGGCCCCCCGGAGGCCCTGGTGAGCGTGGGCTCGTGTTGAGACGGCCCCCCGGAGGCCCTGACGAGCGTGGGCTCGTGCTGAGACACGGCCCCACGGAGGCCCTGACGAGCGTGGGCTCGTGCTGAGCCGCCACTGAACACGGGAGCCACGGCCCCACGGAGGCCCTGGCTGCCAGTGTCCAGCAGGAGGCTGTGGACAGGCCCTGACCCGTCCACAGCAGGCGGCTAAGGCTAGCCGTTTCCTCTTGCAGTGCCGAGAGCCACAAGAAAAGCAAGAAGGAAAAAAAGAAAAAGAAGAAGAAACATAAGAAGCATAAGAAGAAGAAAGACAAAGAACACAGGAAGGATGCTGAGGTTTCCTCCTCCTCTCCCTCTCCCACTCGGTAGGCCCAAGCCCAGCTCAGTTCTGCCTCGGGGAGTTGTGGAGAAAGGGCTGTAGTCAGCGGGCCTGAGCAGGGTGCTGGGCAGCTCTCAGGGCATGGCCCGGCAAGTGCTGCTCAACGCCCTTCCTGATTGTCTCACTGTCCTTGTCTCCAAGGCCCAGACGCCGGCGCCATGATTCGGACTCCTCTTCCCCCAGCTGTAAGAGAAGGAAACGGGGGCCTAGCGGGGGCTGCAGAAAGAGCCCACCCCACAGACGTCCAAGCAGAGGCTCAGATGACTGAGTGTGGACTGATACCCGCCAGAGCCCTGGCTGGCTGCTTTGTGCTTGGTTACCTGCTGACCTGAGAGCAGGGGCTACTGCCTGGAGTGTCCCTGCACCACACCTGTGGGTTTTGGGGGATTGACTGCCGAGGGACCGGTGGTGTTGCTTGGGGAAACTTCTCCAGGTTCCTTCTGACCTGGGTCCCTGCAGACTCCCCTTGAGGGTGGCGCTAAGTGAAGACCGGTCTCTCCAGAGGGGCCCTGCACACTACAGACTGCTGTCTGCTTGCAGCAGTCCAGGCCCAAGAGCTGTGACCGAGCATGGTTGCTTTTCACATTCACTTTGTACTTAAATAAATGTATTTCAAAAGTAGAGCATTACCTCAGAGTGGCAGGGGAATGTGGAAGGGTAAGAGGCCTGGGCTCAGGCAGTAGTGTCATAGGTACAGGACAGTCTCAACCTGGAAGTGACTTGTGGGGTGGGGCATAGCATGAGGTTTGCACTTAGCTTCATGCTTTCCAGACAGGTACTCTAGCTTGAGCTGAGCCATGCTTTGAGCCTTTTTGCTCTAGTAATTTCTGAGACAGTCTTATGTTTCCTGCGTAGCTGGAATGACAGGCACCTGTGTTGAGATGAAGTCTTGTGAGCATTCTTGCCCAAGGCTAGCCTGGAACCAACCTCCTCAGTAACTTCTGATGTCTTGTAGTGATTCCTGCTACATACATCTTGTATGACGAGAGCAAGCCTATAATAAAATAAAAGCCTATCCACAGGAGCTGCCTTTTCAAAAGCCAGGTGGTCTAGGTTGAGCTTGGAAGGGTGGTGGGGCTTGAAGCACCTAGGGGCTGGGCTCAGCTTGCGGGCTCAGCATATAGTCCTTGCTGGCTCCGGCCTGAAACAGTAGACTGGGCAGTTAACAGAAAGGTACCCTGGGTTCATGGGAGCCTGGGTATAGTGAATGGAAAACAGGCTGTGTGGCTGTATCTGTAATGGTGTATTTATTGTTGAATTCTTTTGCTTCTGACTTGAAATTATAAATGCTGTGGCCCAGGCAGACCCTCAGTGTCCACTGAGGCCTAGACTATGGCTTGCACCCTGGCCTACACTCTGCATGTGGCTGCCTTCAGTGGAGACTGCCCTTACTTTAGACTGTCCTGGCTGGGGGAAAGGTCGTGGAGAAACAGGGAGGTACTCTGACCTGCTGGTAGCCATCCCAACCTCGACTAAAGTGCTGCCATGCCATTGCTGGGCACGTATGTGTGCATAGGGTCAGGGGCCAAGGTCCCACAGCACTCAAGACTCCTACAATCTTACCTCTGGAAGTGAAGTGTGCTGTCTTCTCCATGTACTATGTATGAGGGGAAAAGTCCAGGCCTGGAGATCAGCCACCTGCTCTCTATGGGGAAGGCCCTATCAGCCTCTGCTTCCTTCTCAGCAGGCAGCCTCGTGGCAGTGACAGTGACCCACTGACAAGCCCATGAAATAGTTGAGACTTTATTCTAGTAGCTATAATTACAGTGCTTGTTGAAATGAAAACTGAAAACAAGTATACAAAACAGTTGATTACTAATTGTGTATTGAAAGCGGTAAGAGGTTCCACGACACCAAATAAACCAGTTCTGAGGTTTTCTCAAGATAAATTTAACAGCTCCAGCTTCTTCAGTGTTTATCAAAATACAAAAGAAAAAAAAGTAGAGGTCGTCTTTTTCGATGGCAAATCGGACCCTTGCAGGCTGAGGGAGGAAGCTACTTCACACATGGAGATGGGGTGCTCTGGGACTGGGTCTGGAGTGGGCCAACTCTCCCAGCTTGCAGACTCCTGCTGGCTAGACCCAGGCCTCCCGCCGGTACTCGGAGCAGGCGCCAGAACTGGGAACGCGGGCGGCTGCTAGGCCACAGGCCCATCAAGGATGAGGCCCTGCCCCGGCCCCTGCCAGCCCCTTGGTGACCGTGTGAGCACAAGTACAAGCACAACGCTATGGAATGCAGGTGATCCACAGACAGGCGAGTCACGGGGGCTCTACTGTGACCATGCAGCGATGGTGGTTCGTTTGTCACCGTCTCTCCTGTTCCACAGGGGAACGTCTAGCTGATCTGATGGACTAAGCATTCAGGCGGTTACTGCAAAAACCTACACTAGGCATAGTCTCCCTTCTATGTGTTCAAGTGTTCTGCTTGTATTTTTAACAATTTTAAAAAATGCACTGAGTTCAGGTTAAAAACCAACCACCAAATGGATTCCGATACTGATCTACACCCACTGGCTCCTGGAGACCAGGTGCCCACATGTCCAAATCTCTTCTCAGTACTGACCGTAAGTTGATTCTCTTTACAATAAAAAAGCTGAGTAATATTGCATAGGAGTACCAGAAACTGCCTCAGTGGAAACAGAAACTATTTACATTAAATAAAAACCTGGCTGCAGGCTGCGTCTGCACACGCACAGCACGGTGCGGTGCGCACTGTGACCAACCCATGGAGACAGCTTCTGGCACTCAGGACCACAGGGTCGCACGTTTGCCACATGAGAGGAAAGCGGAGGGCGGAGAGGAGGAAGTGAGGGGGAAGGGGAGTTCTGGTTCACTTCTGGTTCCGGAGCTGATTGGACAGCCAGTCCAGTCCTTCATAGAGCCCGTCCCCGCTGGTGGCACAGGTGGCCTGAATGTACCAGTTCCTGTGGCGTAGAGAGTGCAGCCCCAGCTTGTCTGTGATTTCAGCAGCATTCATGGCATTGGGGAGGTCCTGAGGGGAAGGATGGATCAGCAACAAGGGCTACCAGCAAGCTGTCCTTCCCCCTCCCTGACATGGGTGCCGTTAGGGAGGACCTTGCTGGCACCTACCTGCTTGTTGGCAAACACCAGGAGGACAGCATCCCGGAGCTCATCCTCCGCCAGCATCCGCATGAGCTCTTCACGGGCCTCATTGACACGCTCTCTGTCATTGCTGTCCACCACGAAGATCAAGCCTGCAAGGGAGCCATGTGACTGCCTAGGTTCGACACTCCACCCACCCCACAGGCCATGGCCCCAATCCGGAGATTACAGCCGTTCTTCCTGGCCTGGCTCTGTGGGGCCTTGTCTTGCAGTTAGCAAGGCCATGGGACCTGAGCAGAGAGAGGCTAGGCCTTGGAAGGAGCCCGGTAGTAGAGGTCTACAACGAGGGCTGTCCCATTACCTTGGGTGTTCTGGAAGTAGTGGCGCCACAGCGGCCGGATCTTGTCCTGGCCACCCACATCCCACACAGTGAAGCTGATGTTCTTGTACTCCACAGTCTCCACGTTGAAACCTGGGGGCAGGGTTGCAGCTGAGGACCCTCTGCGCCTCCAACCAGGCCTAGCCCCACCCGGCCGCGGTCTCAGCTCAGCTTCTCACCTATGGTGGGGATGGTGGTCACGATCTCCCCCAGCTTCAGTTTGTACAGAATTGTCGTCTTTCCGGCAGCATCCAGGCCCACCATGAGGATGCGCATCTCTTTTTTGCCAAAAAGGCCCTTGAAGAGGTTTGCAAAGATATTCCCCATGCTTGTGGACAGGTGGAGGCGACACTGGCCAAAGACCTGGGGAAGCAAGGCATCCCAAGAATGTTTTGTGCTGCTAGTATGAACCCTGTGCAAATCAGAACCTATCCACCCTGGACTCCTCAGAGGAATGAATGTGTAACACAAATGCAGTTCACCAAGGAACTGAAAGAGCCCACCTGGCCGCCTAGGTCCTATGGCTACATGTCCAGCCAGGGAGGCAGCTGTGGCACAAAGCCTCCTACATTCACTGGCCCTGCATTTAGCAAGCTGCAGGACTTAACCACAGCCACGCTTGCGCACAATGGCTCATGTGCTATCTGAAAACAGTGCTTTCTGGAGACATGTGAGACCTCTACATGAAATAGCTTTTCCAGTGTACCAGCAAGCAACAAGGAATCACACCTAGAGGACAGAGGGGGTGGGAGGGGGTGCTCCCAGCCCTGCCCCCATCCCCACCCCTGGTGCCCAGGAATGGAGAACACGTCATAGTGCAGACTAAGACCCCAGTGTTTGTAAAACATCCTGACTGTAGTGCAGCCCAGAGCAAGCCCAAGAGGCACTGTGGCATCATGCCATCCATGCCAGGCAACCCAAAGAGCCGGGCCCCATGAGGTACAACAAGAAGCCCCCACAACCCTTTGTGAAGAGTATGCATACAGGGCACACTCCTGCTTGGGCTCACACGCTGACTCAGACCAGAAATGCTGGGCATCAATCACGTCAGCCATCACCAATTCATCAGAGCCTGTCTGAGGCTAACAGGGCCTCTGAAAATCAGACCCTAGGCCCTGGTGTAACCATATGGTGGGCACTTTCATTCTGTCCAAACAGGGGCTTTCATCCCTTTCTAAAATGACGAATGATAGAAAAGTCAGACTGCTAGCACCTACTAGTAAACATAACCAATGGAAGTCTTGTAGCCTTCAGAAAGTTATCAGTGTGCCTTCTGTGCTGCCATGGCAGAAGATCACACACCAGGTGGTCTATCAATAATGAGGCCGTAGCCTGGGAGGGTGGATGTCTGATGGTGTTCTGTCCTCTGCAGGGAAGGAATCTGGTGTCTTCAGAGTTGGCAAGAACCACTCCCCAAGGCCCTTCTTTATGAGGCACTAATCTGTCCAGGAGGTTAGAGCCTTGTGAAACTACCGAACATTACTGTACTCAAGCTCAAGTCCAACTTCTCACAGACCAAATGGGGGGCATTCTGACCATAGCCTGTATGCCAACCAAGAGTATTTAGGAGTCACTCCTCCAGTGACCCTGCGAGCAAGAGGCCTCCCGTCCAAGGCCCCACTCACTCCTCCACTCCTCACCATCCCTCCTCTTCTAACATCTTAGGACTTCATTACAACAAGGTGAATGCTATGCAGTAGCCTTCTAATGGGTTACCTCCAACTGCGGTCAATGCAGAGAAATCAAATCTCATTTCTTGATGCCTGGATGATCTGTATACATTTCCCCAGATGTGACCAGAGACCCAGTGCTTTCTGGACACGGTTCTTTCTCACTTCACAGTATCACATTGAAAACATTACACTAGGTCTCAAGTTATCATGGCCCTTTCTGGAGACAGTCAAGCTCCCAGGTACAGAGGACTAAGTTTCTGTAGAACATAGTAGATTATTTCCCAGTGTACCCTGAGTTCACCATCCACTGGGGAGGAAAGGGAGACGCTTGAGCCCACACATCCCCCCTTCAAACTCCTACTAATTAGGAATTAGGTAGGACAAACAGTCATTTCAGCACCAAAGGCCTCTTACATGCACACTTTGCTTGAGGCTCCCAGAAAAATGGTTACCAATATCCAGGCAGATGGGAAGTCTGAACATCTAGACCATGGATGGAATCCAGCAGTGCTTTTGTGGGGTGAGAGGCACCAGGGAAACACATAGAAGAGGTCACAAGACAAAACCTCCCAGAACACCCCACTGAATATAAGCAACATCCCCAAAAGCCTAGCCTAGCCCCTCACCTCTTCAAAAGTCTCAAATGTAAGACTCCAACAAGCAAAGTGGGGGTGGGGGGGGGAGATTGAGGAAAACAGGCAAGACAGGGAACATGTTCTTTTAAGAGAAAACAAAAGATTATTATTAAAAGATATAGTGTCTACAAAATAAGATACTGAAACAAAGGGGGAAAATGAGGCAATCTGTTCACACTACAAAAGTTCAAAATGAAAGCAGAACCAGACAAACACAGATACAAAAGGAAAACCATTATAATCCAATGCTAGCACCTGAGAGGCTAACACAGAACCCAGAGTTTGAATACAGCTTAGGCCATAAAGGGGAAAAGGATGGGAAAGCAAGCACACTACAGCGACAAGGTTTCTTCATGCTCCAGACAGACATACATGGCTGCCATACTGACAGAGCCAGTGTACGACAGGCTCTTAAAAGTCTGAGACTATAGCCAGCCTTTAATCTGTAATCCTACCAGCTACAGTAAGAATTTCAGCATCACAAAGCCATCTACCTTACCTCTTATACACAGTTCCCATGAGGACCCTGGCACCAGGCAAAAGGAGGAGCCAAAGATGATAATGCAGAGGGGCAGGCAGCACTGGATGGACTGCAGCGTGAAGAACTCGGGAGCATCAGACCAGCCAAGAGGTGTGCATGATAAAAACTCAAGCCCAACACAAGCAGGTGTGTGCACAACCACTCTCTCAAAATGTATTCCAAACCAAATCAAGCAAACAAGTCAGGAAGCAGCCCTGCTAAGCACGCCCACGTCCACACAGCCCTGACAGTTAGTCGCTGCTGGGCACAGAAGCAGTAAAGGCTGTCCTCCCTCCCTTCCTTTCTTTTTTCTTCTTTTCCAGTCCCGGGGCTTGAACTCAGGGCCTGGGCATGGTCCCTAAGCTGCTTTTGCTCAAGGCTAGCACTCTACCATGTGAGCCACAGTGCCACTTCTGGCTTTTTCTGTGTATGTGGTACTGAGGAGTCGAACCCAGGACTTCATGAATGCTAGGCAAGCGCTCTATCACTGAGCCACGTTCCCAGCACCACCATGCTCTTTTTTGTTGTTAGTCATGGGGCTTGAACTCTGGGCTTAAGCGCTGTCCCTGCGCTCTTCAGCTCAAGGATAACGCTCTACCACGCGAGCTACAGCGCCACTTCAGTTTTCTGGTGGTTGTTTGGAGATAAGAGTCTCAAGGACTTTCCTGCCCCAGCTGGCTCTGAACCACAATCCTCAGATCTCAGCCTCCTGAGTAGCTGGGATGACAGGCGTGAGCCACCAGCGCCCAGTACCATCCTCACTTTCTAAATCCACAAACCTCAAGCAGATGTCAATGGAGAAACAAGAAAAATCTACTGGTGGTGCTAGGGATACTGTGACAGAGGAATTCTTGGATGGCTTCTTTCATTTTTACATGCTGCAAAAACATGAACCCAAATATGCATAACTGAGGGGAAAGGGTTCTCAACTCCTACAGGGCCCCATACACAACAGCAGGGAAAACAGGGAGTAGCTACATGAGTACATCACTGCCTATAAAAGTCTGCTGGAAGCCCGGCGCCGGTGGCTCACACCTGTAATCCTAACTACTCAGGAGGCTGAGATATGAGGATGGAGGTTCAAAGACAGCCCGGGCAGGAAAGACCACAAGACTCCTATCTACAATAAAAACCACTAGAACACCGGAAGTGGCGCTGTAGCTCAGGTGGTAGAGCGCTCGTCTTGTGCTGAAGAGCTGAGGGACAGCGCCCAGGCCCAGAGTTCAAGCCCCATGACCGACAAAAAAAAAAAAGTCTACTGAAATTGCTGAGCGACAGCACCCAGGCCGAGTTCAATCCCCACGACAAAAAAAAAAAAAGTCCACTGGAGCCTGATGTAGTCTGGCAAGGGTGTCTCATCCCCTAATGTGCAGGTCTAGGCTACAGCCCCACAGACAGAAAGGCTGTGAAAAGCACAGTGACCACAGCCTAGCTCTCCAAAAGGCAGAATGGCCACACCATTTGGAGAGGGCCAGGATGGGATGAACCTCAAGTCTCAGGTTAAGACCCAGCCCACTAGCACGGAGGCCCACCCAGCAATCCAAAGTAGATGGTGGTCAGGGTTTCCAGCCTTGGCGCCTAGACTTCCAGTGGGTTCCAAGCACCACCTACTGTTTCAGCAACAGGCCCAAATCCAAGAGGACTCCACAGTGGTAGAAAAACCCAGTGGTACAACAGTGGGTCCTAGCCTAACAGTGGCTTACCTTTCCTCCACCAGAATCCTGCCCATAAGGTAAACCTGCTCTTCAGGTTCTGCCGCATTACTCTGTGAGGAAGCAGTGACTAAGAGTCTTCTGTCTGTGTGTCTGCGCCCCAACCACAGAGGGGTGCCTCAGGAAGGGTGACAAGCGTCCAGGTAAGGCCCCGGCAGCAGGGCACTCAGAGACTTCACCTTGGGACAAGAAAGCTCCTTCAGGAAAACTGTGCGTGGTAAGAAGCAGGGCACAAGCGTAGGGTGGCCTCTATCCTAGATGTTACCCTTCCTCCACAGGGCTCTGTGGGCCTTCCTGGGATACAGTCTCCATGATACCGGTCACTTGAGCTTAGTCCTCAAAATGTTAGTGTCAGTATGACAGAATTTCACTAGTAAGACACGTTTCCCATTTCTAGCTGCTAACTTAACAGGGTCCTCAGTCCTTGTGAACAGGGTTCACACACATTCTACTTGAATGAGAAATTGATGACATTAAGGAGTTTCTTTTCCTGTTTTTTAGGTTTTATTATGAACAAATTCAGTACAGTGTAAATTAATGGACTTCTAAATTTATACTGATTTATACGTAGTAAATCAATAGCTCATAATTTCAGCTTTCATGTCTAACGAGAAAAATTAACAAATTTAAAGATATTCTGAGAGAACTTATGTATGGCAATATTTTGCCAAGCTGGGCGCTGGTTGCTTTTGCTACTAAGAGCTATCTGAGGATCTCCATTCAAAGCCAGCCTATGCAGACAAATACAGAGGATTTATCTCCAACTAGTCAGCAAAAGGCTAGAAATAGAGGTGTAGGTCAAGTGGTAGAGCACCAACTTCGA